AAATATTTATCGGCAAATGGAAATTTGAACACTGAGATTGACCCTAATCAATGTCTCAGGTTCATACGGATATCAAGAACAAATGAATAATTGATCACTTATCTAAGGATTGAATTTTGATTATGATTATAGTTTAATAGTTGCATTTGGATGACTAAATTTTTGTTGATTGTTTGAGAAGTATTAGACCTTAAGTAGCTGATGACATGTCCAAGTGTGTAACATCCCAAAATTTCAACCCAAAATTTTTTGTTTTAAACATTACCAAAACCATGAAATTAATCATCATATAATAAAACCATAATCACACGCCTCAAATGTAAAAGCGAATGTATCAAATCAACTAATGTCAGAACATATCCAACATCCGAATAAAACTCCCAGGATAAACTAAAGTTGTGGTGTGTTGAAACGACCCAAAAATACGACCCAAAAATTTCGTTTTTCAATATAATCAAAACCATAATATGAGTATCATAACATAGAAAAACATACGCGATGCATCCCAAATCATAATAAAATACTGTGCGGAAAAACTGTATCATACTATATCAAATCCTAAACAACTAAAACCATCCCCAGGATAAAAGCTAAGCTGTGGTGTGTGCGATGCTATCACCCTGAGCTCTTCCCTTTGCTTGCGGAAGTACCTGAAACCAAAACTGAAACTGTAAGCACGAAGCTTAGTGAGCTCCCCCAAACTACCACATACCATACAATAACATATAAACACATATTGGGCCTCGCCCACTGCATCGGGCCGAAGCCCGGAAACTGCATCGGACCGGAGTCCGGAACTGACTGGGACCTTGTCCCCTGCATCAGACCGAAGTCCGGAACTAACTGCATCGGACCAAAGTCCGGAACTAACTGGGACCTTGTCCCCTGCATCGGACCGAAGTCCGGAACTAACTACATCGGACCGAAGTCCGGAACTGACTAACTGAACATGGCATAGCATAACACATCAACTAACATGAACACATATACGACATACTTCATCGGGCCGTAGCCCGGAACACATAACACTTAACGCATAGAACATAGCACACAAATCCTGTTCGAGCCACGAAGGCATCAAACATACTAGCTACTGCGTCGGACCTAAATCCGGGAACTACTGCTAACTGAACGGGCCGGCATTGTGGCCTTAGACCCGTTCCTACTGGAAGGAAACTCACCTCGTAAGCTGGCTGCTGAGTGTGTGGCTCGGGAAGCTAACGACTGCTGCTCCTGAATCTCCTCGGCTACAAGTCCATAAACACACTCAATCAAATACTAAACACTGCACTTGGGGTAAAATGACTCTTTTACCCTTGGTTAAAGTCAACTCTCTTTGGGCTGACTCGCCGAGTTGGGCCGCCCAACTCGCCGAGTCCTACTCTCACTTCTCAGTTTTGCTCGCTGCTACTCGTCGAGTGTGGCATCGACTCGACGAGTACCCACTTGATCCAAGAACTCAGACAATCTTCATCCGACTCGCTGAGCCGTATGAACAAACTCGACGAGTTGTTCTTGATCTTAAGAAGATTGCCTTGGACTCGCCGAGTTGTATGAACAACTCGCCGAGTCCCTCCATCACTGAGTCTACCCTCAACTCGCTGAGTCCACTCACTAACTCACTAGATCCACTCGACACTGATAAAAATGGAGGAATCGGGAACTCGCGACCCAACTCGCCGAGTCGTTCTTCCCGACTCGCCGAGTTGCCGCCATGCAACTGATTTTTACTCGATTTTGTTTGAATCCAACACATACAATTGATAGATCTGAGTCCAATAAGCTGATTTACCACGTAAAGTTTCCAACTTTACGTGTACAACCTCAAGAATAAGGGAAATAAGGCTAAAAGATGCACAAAATGGGTAGATCTATGGTTAATATGCAAGGTAACTCCAAAAAGGAAGTAGATCTGGGCTCTACAACACCCAATCATTCAGATCTAAAGATATCTCGACTTATTAAGGCATTCATGCAAACATAAGGCTTGGAACAAGCATCAACTAGATCTTAGAAGAGCTCTAATGGAGGTTTAAAGCATATAACAAGAGGGGAAATCCGAAAATACCTCAAATAACTCAGATTTGCCCTTGGATCTTTGCACTACAACTCTTCTCCTTGCTCCTTTCTTCTTCTCCTTCTTCACACCTTCACAAAATGGCACACAAAACACTTATAAGCTCTCAAGGTGGATTAGGGTTCTTTCTCACAGCTTTAGAGGGTGAGGGAGGCGAGAATGGGGGCTATAAGGTGACTTAAATAGTGGGCAACCCGGGGATTTAGGGTTTCACCCAGACGGATGGACTCGCCGAGTCAGGGATATGGACTCACCGAGTCCCCGGCACACGCGTGCTCGAAGTCGCGACCCTACTCGGCGAGTTAGGCTATGACTTGCCGAGTCCCTCTTGCAAAACTTACAACAATTACCAATGAATTAACATACCGGGAACGGGTCGTTACATGTGTGCCATGCGATCAACTCGAACTCTTCCCCTTACTTGCAGAAGTACCTGAAACCAAAAACTGAAACTGTAAGCGCAAAGCTTATTGAGCTCCCCCAAACTACCACATACCATACAATAATACAAATAACACATACTGGGCCTCGCCCGACATCGGATCGAAGTCCGACATAATCTGAGCCCCGCCTATTGCATCGGGCCCCACCCGGCATCAGACTGAAGTCCGGAATAACTTGGGCCCCGCCCAGCATCGGACTGAAGTCCATAATAAATTGGATATAACATATCATTAACATATAGCATAATCACATATTGTATCGGGCTTGCCCGACATCGGACCGAAAGTCCGGATCATATAACACATATCGCAACATGCATGAATCACGAAGACATCAAGAATACATATTATTGCATCGGGCCCCACCTGGCATCGGACCGAAGTCCGGAACTACTATCATCTAAATGGGCCGACATTGTAGCCGTAGACCCGTTCCTACTGGAAGGAAACTCACCTCGTAACGCTGGCTGCTGAGATGCTAAATCTGAAACTGTATGACTGCTGCTCCGGAAATCCCTGGCTACAAATCCCATAAACACTAACCAAATACTGATAACTAATCTCAGGGGAAAAATGACTATTTACCCCTGGTCAAAGTCAACATCTTGGTCAAAGTCAACTTTCAGTTGACCGGACTTGCCGAGTTGGGCCGCCAACTCGCCGAGTCCCTATCATCCTTTCTAATCCTCTACCCGCTTCTACTCGACGAGTTTGGCAAAGGCTCGACGAGTTCTTCTTCGATATTAACATCGAGTCTAACTTCATCTGACTCGCCGAGTTGTATGAACAACTCATCAAGTTCTCCTTCATCATATGAACACGTCCAGTTTGTGACTCCCCGAGTTGTATGAACAACTCGTCGAGTCTGTTCTTGAGGCATGAACCGACTCGTCGAGTCCTAAGAACGGCTCGTCGAGTCTCATGCATGCCATTACTATACAATCGATTCTAGTCGATTTCAGTGCATCCAATTCATAGATCTGGGCTTCTAGGGCTGGTTTTACACGTAAAGTTTCCAACTTTAAATGCATGCACAAGAGAATGGGGCTTAAACACGAATGTCATCCAACAATAAGCACTTATGGTTTGGAACAAGGCTATATTTGCATAAAGGTAGCTACATTTAGCTCCTAGAGCTCAATAACATCCAGATCTATGGTTTCCTTCCAAAGGAGAGTTTAAACCTCAAGTTTGAATCATATAAAGTTCCAAGAGAAGCATAAACAAGCATAAAATATGGTATAAGGGAAGAATAAGCAACGTGTTAACTTTATTACCAGAATATGTAGCAAATGGAGACTAGATTCTGGATCTCCTTTCTCTTCTCTTGATCTTCTTTCCTTCCTTCTCTTCCAAAACTTCCAAGCTAGAAGAAAAACACTCAAGCTCAACAATGGGGACTAGGGTTTACAGGGGAAATGCTCTAGAGGTGCTGGAGGCTGGAATGGGAGGCTATAATGACGTTTAAAATAGGGTACAAACCCTGAGATTTAGGGCTTCATCCAGACTAGCGGACTCGCCGAGTTCGGAAAATAGACTCACCGATTTGCCCGCTAAAACGCGTGCAAATCCCATCTCTACTCAACGAGTCAGGCTACTGACTCATCAAGTACCTCTTAAGAAAGGGAAATACCATATTTAAATTACATACCAGAAATTGGGGCGTTACAAAGTGGGAGCCTATTGGAGATAGTGTGCGAAGTCATTAATTATTAGTAATATATATAAATAACATGGTCCTTTGGGTTGGTCTCATGACACAAGTAGCAATAAGGAAATAAAGAAACATAAGTTATTAATTTATTATAAATTAATAAATTAACTGAAGATTATTTTGGTTATTAATTAAATAGTTTTAATTAATTAACATTGTAGAATATTAATGAGTTCTTTGAGATTAATTGGAATATTTTAGAACCCTCTAGAAAGAATGAAAATGATGATTTTATCCTCAAAGATTATGATAAGATAGGTTTTTGAAAATGATAAGGATTATCCTTGAGAATCTGATTAGCTTAATAATTCAAGTTGATGCCTATAAACAGGGTGCTAGGGATCAAACAATAGACTAATTTTCTCTTATAATTTAGTTCTCCCCTCTCTCCATATTCTCTTAGTTCGGAATTTATATCCTCTTTCCAAAGATATAGATTTTTTACAAATCCTTTCATAAGGTTTTCTTATTTGTTGCTTGAAGTATTGAGTTTAACTACAATACAAGGATTGGGTGTAAGTGATCTGATGAACCTATGTGCCCTTGATCCATGGAAGTGATACATGGACTAATCATGTCTTTGAACAAATTCCAACACCCCCTTCAAGAAGCTAGAATGCAAGCAAGGATGTATAAGTTTATCTTCGTGATTTGCATTTCTGGAAGAAAGGGAGGCTATGACGAAATCGGTTAGATTGTGACCTAAGCTATTGTTGCTCTAGCTATAGACTGGGATTACAACTTCTCAAAGTTAGTCTTCGAAGAAATGAAGAGCAACCTCCTGGGAAAGAAAAAGGACCTATTTTTGATGTACCCCAGGTTCCTTCAAATGATATTTACTAAAAAATATCCTTAAATCGAAAGGACGTTTGATACATTAGATATGAAAGCTTTGGGTAACAACACTTTTAGACTCATGAAGTAATCAAGAAAGTCTGCCAAAGTTGCTTATCAAGGATTAAAGGAGTTAGTTAAATTTGGAAAGTTTGCTGAGATTGAAGACACTCCTACTGTTAGTTCAACAAATGATGAGGTTGCCGACGAACACGTGGCACCCAAACTAAAGTTTCAATTCGCCTCTGAAGAGATTAAGTTATTTGATGATGAAGAAGATCAAGAGGATCAAGAAAATGAATTAACAAAAAATGAGTTTGAAGATTTTATTCATCAAAGTATCTCATAACTAGAGAAGGATTTAGATATTACACCACCGGTTGTAACCGAAAGGGAAAGTGATACAACGGTGCAATCTTCCATTCAGACACCTGAACAAATGGATTCTCTCATAGCAGAACTTCAGCGAACTGAAAGAAAGCCTCACCAAATAGTTCCTATCGATACTGAACCTCTATCTGATAGTGATCTAGAAGACTTAGCCCGTACTTTACTCCTAAGGAAGCGAAAAAGAAGAGATCCAAGGCCGGGAGTGTTTATCACAGACCCAATTCAAAAGAATTATACATCGATTGAGCCTGGTTAATGGCTCAAAACATACAAAGCACATTCACTGAGACCTCTCCAGTGATTAAATAAATGTCAAGCTCGTTCTCTAAGCCCATTCTTATGGATCAGGATTTTCAAAGTTAAATTGTTGAAGAAGAAGTCATACCTTCAGAAGGAGCTCAAGCTTCAAGAAGCTCATTTGAAACATCCGTGTTGGACATGTCTGAAGGAAAAAGCATGTTGCCTAAATTTGATTTTGTTGATGTCGTTCAGCTTTAGAACAGAGTCTTTGATCTGGAACAAAATTCTGCTGAAAAGGATTTGATAATTGGAAAGCAGGACATTCGAATTAGCGAGCTTGAGAAAGAGAACTCTGATAAAGATTCAAAGATCTCAGAGCTTTAAGCAAATCTTGGTGGTTTAACTGCTCTATTCTTTGATCTGAAACAATGCCTATTTCAGAAGTTTTGTGATGAATCTTAACCCTTGAGTGCTGAAGGAGAAAATATCACTATTTCTAGTTCAGGTCCCACCAATCTAACTTCACAATCTTCAAGGGAAAGAGTTGTAAGACCTGCTCTGGATGCTAATCTTGATACATTATTATCTTACGGTCCTCTTTCTGCTCAAGAATGAAACAAGAAGAAAACTAGGGTTAAGTACCTGAAAGGGAAAATGCTCATGATGAAGAATTCATATCAAAATGCTCGGGGTGATCACCCTGAAATGTTCTTCAGGGAAACTTGGAGGAAGTTCACAGATAAATATGGTGATCGTTCTGGTATCATGATGTGGGGATATGATGCTGAAAAGAAAATGTGGATCGTGAAGCTAAAAAAGTGGAAGAATTGAATATTATGAGAAGAAATTCAACTTCTTGTCTAGGAAAAAAATTTGATCTTTCAGAACTCATCCATGCACCTTTCCACAATCCAACCAATGATACCATGGCATGGTACTTCAAGAATTTTCTTGAGATCAAAGCGAAAAATAACTTTGAAGATTTAAAGATTGCTTTATCGTTTACTAAGAAGGCCAAGGATGTCATTGATCCACGCACAAACAAAACAATGGTTAATGTCATGTGGCCACCCACAAAGCAAGCCAAAAGGATTCCTCTTCCCAAATGCTTACCCGGAGGTACTTTGGATACAATACAATTATGGGTTTACTATGAGGCTACTGCAACAATGGTGATCAAGCTGAAGAAAAACCACTTTCGTATTGTTGGTCCCAAAGATTTGTTGATGTTTGGAGAACATGATATTTGCACTTTATCAAACTTTCAGATTATCGTAGAGAATGAACTATTTGAAGTTGCCGCGAAAGCTTTCACTGGTATGGTAGCTACAATTATCGACAAGAAGCTATGGGCAAGGGCATTTGACCAAGCAGACATACATCTTGTAGAGAAACCTTGAAGAGAACAGAAAGCAATAAACCAATGGGGAGATTGTTGGTATATATTTAGTGGTTTATGCTTTGTTTTGAATGTATTATGTTATTCTCGGTTTTGGATCGAAATCACCTAGTTATTTCGGTGGGCTTATTATGTATGGGCTTTAGGTTATATATATATGTATATATATATATATATGTATGTGTATATATATATATATATATATATAATATATATATATATATATATATATATATATATATATATATATATATATATATATTGTTTGTGTATAGCCGTTCTAGAAGGCGTTTTTTTGGAAAACTCTATTGATTCATGGCTGAAGTATGATTAAATGTACTTGATAGTTATTCATAGAATTGTATGCATTCATGTTATTGAAATGTGTTCTTGATATATCTAATTGATTGTTTCGAATAATTGTTTGATTAAGATTCTGCATTAAATCATACGTTTGCATTGATACATTGATAGATCCGAGTTCAGGGACTTGCAGTTTTTCTTTTTCCTTTTTCCTTTTTTGTAGCCTGAAGCTAGTATGCACGAATCAGTTTTGACCTAAACCCAAACCAAACCTAAACCTAAATCCAAACTGATGGGTTCGAGGCTTCGACTCTCAAAATTCCGAGTGTGGTTCCGGGCTCAATGAGTTTAGAGAACTTTAAACCAATTTAAACATGAACTAAAATTGTATAAATACCAAGAGACACTGGTTTTCCATCTCATTGGCGATGTGGGATGATCTGAGCATATGAGGAAAGATAAATCGTTTTATAAGCTTAAAGTGGCGTTGGGTTTCAACCCTTCAATGATGTATGATAAGTTTAATTTGTTTGGAAAAATAAATCAAGAAGGATGTATGACGTGTTTTGACCTTAAGACCTAGGGTTCAAACATCCAACTTGCTAACCACCTGAACCTCCTGCTGCTTGTGGTATTATTTCGCAAAACATATTTATATTATGCATATACAAAATATATACGTTTATAAACATTATATATAATTGGTTCGATTTGGTTTCTTTTGGTTTTGTATCTTGTGTAATTGGATCCTTGTCGACATTGAATACAAACATCATTTGGTCAACCCTAGAATTATGATTTTATCTTACTGCACTCTTTACCTATGTTAGGTGATTGACTATAGCATGAATGTAATGTCCATAGAAATGTCCATAGAGTGAACACCATTGTCGTCTAACCTTAGGATCACTTGCTCTGGTTGAGATGCACTAAGAATTAACAATATGGTATGCAGAAGCTGGGTTGATCAAGAGGTTTCTTAGGGCAAGGAGGGTGGAGGATAAAGATTAACTTTGTTTGAAACTCAACCCCCTCTATTACCTTATTGTTTCGAGAAGACCTATATGAAATGTCCAAAATACCCTCATGTGCAAAGTTTTGTGGAAAGGGAAATTAATGCAATTTTTATTCATACAAAACTGCCTTGGAGAAAATTTAAAAACCATAAATACCGTTTATGACATTTTGTCAAAATAAAACGTGGCATGCTGACTATTTCACGAAGATGGTAATGGTCCATTATTTCATTAAGATGGTCAAGGTCCATTAAACATAAGCTTTCTTGACCCAAATATTTTGGACCTTAATGGGCTTGAACAATGAATACAGGATGAAAGGAACACACACGCTCACATCATCCATATACACCTTCCGACACGGTAGACCTCGTAATATGCCAACACTTTCCCGATTGATCGTACGAATGTAAATCTAACTAGACAAATTATCCAGCAACACTTTCCAATTTTCGAGACGACAAAATCGATATTTTTTCTTGATTTCAATCTCTGAATCGTCACTCCCATCTGAAGTTACTCTTGTGCGTAATGAGATTAAAACGACATAAAAGTCTATTGATTTCACCAAAAAGTTTGATTCTCTGTTGTGCAATCTTCACCCTTTTTGGATTGTTGGTACTAGCCTTCATCTCCGGCGATGATCTCCCCGCCGGAACCCCTATCCCGCCTCCACCGGAGCTACATAATATGACGGCGAAACCTGCAAGTACTTGTGCGACAGTGGAAGAAATGGGAAACGAAGCTGTTGGTCCTTCCGGCGGTGTCGATTCATGGAAACAGAGTTTGAAAGTTCGCAGATTGATTCGAAACCATTTCGAATCTCATGGTATGAAGATTCGTAACCCTCTTTTCTGAGATTCAATTTCTTGGCCCATTCTAAATCAATCTTGATTTCAACTTGAAACAAGATCAAGAAATGTTGACGTTAATCTGTTCACCATAGAATTAAACTGACAATTTAAATACAAACTGTTCGATAACGTTTTTCTCTTTTACGTTAGGCGCATCTAGAGTTCGTCTTCTACCTCCCGACAAGTTCTGCAAGCAAGGTTTTGTAATGGGGAAAGCTTCTGAGGCTGGGTTTGGGAACGAAATGTATAAGATCTTGACGGCTGCAGCACTTAGCATCATGTTGAATCGTTCACTGATTATCGGGCAAACGAGGCATATTGGTTCTTTCTTTTTCTCAATCTTTATCTACTACTACGAAATTTATATAAATATATATCACCCGAATCACAAATGCTTACTTTCTGATGATCCATGTTTTTTTTTTTACTAGGGACAAGTATCCGTTTGGAGAGTATATAACGTATGCCGATTTCTCGTTTACTTTAAAAGAAGTGAAACATCTATGGAGAAAAAATGATTGTGTTGGAAAATATGGACGACATCTTGTGATGCGGGTTGATGATTTTGAAAAACCTTCAGAAACAAACGTTCTTTGTAGTAACTGGCGAAAGTGGAAGCACCCAATCATATGGTAACTACTACAAGAATCCATAAATAATCACACCCACACACAATGATGATTAATGATTTTAGAAAGCTTTTCTTTTATCAGGTTTAAAGGTACGACGGATGCTGTGGGTGCTCAGTTTTTCCTAAAGAATGTACATGTTCAAATGAGGAAATCTGCTTCTGCATTATTTGGGAACACTGAGTTTCTTGGTTCTAGACCGAATGTAATCGGGGAGCTGCTAAGAGTACTGATATCACCTTCACCGGATGTTGAAAGAGCTGTTAATTGGGTCATTAATAATGGTCATGATCCTGATATTGCCCTTCATATGCGCATGCTCATGAACAAGTATGTAATTGAGTTAATTGGAAGATAATTGATCAAATGGAAATACGATCGCCTTATTTTCAAACGCTTTTTCTTCAAATATGTATCGTTATTTTCATTATATGAAAATGAAATGGTGTTGCTCTTGATTCTTATAGGTCTCCTAGAGCCATCAACGCTGCTTTAAATTGCATAAAAACCACCATTTCAAGAACCCCTCACCTTTCTCATGTCACACCCCGTGTCGTTTTGATCTCCGACACACCGTCACTCATTACAGAACTCATGCCAAAACTTCAAGGATTCACCGAGGTAATTAACATGCATTTCCACTAATCAAATCTTACAGAATGCAAATCCTTTGAGATTTCACAACTTCATTTTCCATCATCGATCCTAATAGATTCATGGTTATAATAGGTCCTTCATTTTGAATACAAGAACTTCAAAGGGAACATCTCCGGTGAACCTCAGGTTGTCAAGTTTCGATCAAAAGACTGGGGACCCGCACCTCGATGGGTTGCTTTCGTCGATTTCTTTCTAGCTTCACGCGCCACCAATGCTGTAATTACAGGTGCCCAAAGACGTGTAGGCACCACCTACGCCCAGCTCATCGCAGCACTAGCTGAAGCTCATCAACTTGGTGAAGCCCTTTTTCTTGTTCATCGTTCATATAATTAATATTTGGATTTTGTTGATGTAAACTCATGTTTTGTCTTGTGGATGAAGATGATGGTGGTCGGGGGAATTTTTCGTTTATCAGTAGCTTTCAGAGCAATCTATTGCACCGGGGGTTGCAGAATCAGGTCGGATGGGGTCATGTCTGGAACAGATTCGCCGGCGGGTTGAGTTGTCATGGACAGGGAAACCAGTGTGCGGTGACACCTGTTCTTCCGCCGGGGTGGTGGGACGGGTTGTGGCAGTCGCCGGTGGCACGAGACATACGGAGAATGGAATCGTACGGGGTGAAACTCAGTGGGTTTGGAACGATTGATGAAAACCGTGTTAGGGTTCATTGTAAGGCTAGAAAAGCTATCATAAGAACGATTCCGATTACTCGTGGATGTATTGGGTTGAAATGTATTTGATGAACATCGGAGAACAATTTTTTGTATTTTAGATATATTTTTTTAAAATCGCCTAAAATTACAATATTTTTTCATTTCTAAAGTGAATATTTTACTGATTTTAGAGAAAAAAAATGTTAGATTCACATATTAACAATTTATTATAGTTTTAGTCCTACGTCATGTAAAAAGAACTTTCTATATATTTCAGGCGATATATCTTATTTGTTAGGGCAAATGTCATATTATATATATATATATATATATATATATATATATATATATATATATATATATATATATATATATATAACTACAAACTATCTTATGTCTAATCTAATCTTAAATATCATCTATCTTTGTTTCCTAGTGAGAGTTGAACCTATGACTTCTTATTTAAGAAAATCAATCATTACTGCTAGGCCAAAAGCCCTTTGTAGCAAATATCATATTAACCAAACAAATTGTCATGTTTGCTTTAAAAGGTGGTCAATTTATTTTATTTTATTTTTAATTTTTTTTGTATAAAAAAAATCTCTATATTCTAATAAAAAAATAGTTTTATTATTTTTTTGATACGTGTCATCATATTAGGTCTTCTTGATAGGTGTCATCATATTAGGTTTCGTAATTAATATCTATGTTATTTTCTTTTTGCCATATATCTACCATATTATGTCTCATAATTAATGTATGTTACTTATCAACCTATTGATTATCTATTTCAAATTTCAAATTTTAAAATTTTCATTCTAATTATATTAAATTAATAACATTAAAATAAAATTAATATAAATTATAGAGTGATATCATTTCACATATT